GGCAGGAGAACTGCCCCTGGCTAGAGGGTACGGCTTCCCCTCCGGCTGCAGCCTGGCTTCCCACCGAGCCGCGTCCTTTGGGGGAGGGGGGCTGTGGGCACGAGCCCCCCGCAGCCCCTGGGGGCCCAGAGTCAATGGTGAGCTTTGGTCCCTGTGTGTGGTCCGCTCCCTCCGGGTCCCGGTCCAGTCCCGGGTCACATGGGCGGCACAAGGAGACCCGACATAGCTGCAAGAGAAGGAGATGGTGTTGGCCGGCATCCCTGGCGCGGGGGCCACGGGGTGGGGTGGGGGGGCGCTCGGGTGCCGCATGCAGCTGAGGAGAGCGGGAAGCGCCAGCCCCACCAGCAGGGCGTCGTGCGGGGAGCAGAACAGAGCTGGGGGTGGGATGGGCGGTGGCAAAGCCGGGCACCTGGGAACCTCCCACAACAGCTTCCCGCTGCCCTCTCCTGCCCAGGGGGCCTGTAGCTCAGCGCTGCAAATGCCAGCGCATGGAGAGAGGCGGGTAGGAGCGCCAGGATCCCCAGCAGCCATCCTCAGCCTCTCACCCCTTCAGAGCGCTGGGCAGGGCCACGAACCAACAACTCACTGGGGCCCGGCCCCGCTGCCCGGGAACGTCCTGCCACCGTCACAGCCCGGCGTGTCCGGCCCAGCTCAGGGGATGCCCAGGCAGTGCCGGCCGGCGGGGTGGGGCAGTCACAGGCTCTGAGTCTCCTCAGGCCAATGCCCTAGTCACCGGGCCGGGCCCGCTCCCACCAGCGATGGGGAGAGGGTCCCCCCCAGCCCGGCTTGCAACGCGAAGGCTTCCCGTCCCCACAAGGAGCAGGGGACCCACCCAGAGCCCTGGGGGGCAGCCCCCCTCCTCACACAGGGGCAGGGGAGCCAGTGGAGAGACGTACTGTGTCTAGGAATAGGCCAGTCCTTGGAGCGACCGAGCAGGGGGGTGAAACTTGTCGGAGTCCTCAAAAGACTGGTCTGGGCAGCCGAGCACAGCAGCAGGGAGGGAAGAAGAGAGGGAAAGTGTCAACGTGGGAGGAAGGGCGAGAGACAACCAAAGGGGGGAGCTGGAGCCAGTACGGCCACTTTACCCCCCCAGTCCACCAGCAAATCTGCGCCCGGCCCCCAGGAATTACACGCCCAGCGTGAGATCCCTGCCCAGCCACAGCGGGGTCTGCTCCGCTCCGCCCCGTCTCTGCTGGGATCCCGCCTGGCCAAGCTGGGATCCACTCCGCCTGGACACTGCTGGGATCCC